CTCCCTCTACCCAGTGATGCTAAATAAATGCTCCCTCAGAAAACAAGGAACAGGGCCCATGATGACTTGCTTGCAGCCAAATTCCAAAGAAAAAAGGTTAACTCATGTACTTACTACTCAAGAAGCTTTCTTTATTTTTCAGGGTTGGGGTACATTCTCTTTAAAATTAAAGCAAATCATGTTTTTTTTAAGAGACAGGGTATTGTTATGTAGCCCAGACTGTGGACTGGAACTTTCAGAAATCCTCCTGCTTCAGCCTCCCTACTGCTAGAATTATAGGTGTACCGTGACACCCAGCTAAATCATGTCTCTTAAAAGAATCAGAATTTGGCCATGTATGGTACTACAGCACTTGGGAGGCAGATGCAGGAGGATCATGATTTTGAGGTCAACCAAGGTTACATGGTGAGTTCCAGGCCAGCCTATACTACATTGCAAGACACTATTCTCAAGCCCCACCCCTAAGTCAGAATTTACACAACATATTATACCAGGAATAATATCTCTCTTCAGATCATTTTCTATCCTCACTTTTTCTTTTCTTTTTTTTTTTTTTGGCAGTACTGGGGCTTGAATTCAGGGCCTATATCTTGAGCCACTCCACCAGCCCTTTTTTTTGTTTTTTCAAGATAAGGTCTCACAGAACTATTTGCCTGGGCTGGCTTCAAGCTGCGATCCTCCTGAGTAGCTAGGATTACAGGCATGAGCTACTGACTCCTGGACTTCTACTATTAAAAACCACTATCTTGCTGACGGATTGGCTCAGGAGGCAGAGTGCCTGCCTAGCAAGCATGAGGTCCTGAGTTCAAACCCCAATACCACCAAAAAAAAAAAAAAAAAAAACTGTAGAAACCAATATCCTGCCAGGCACTGGTGAGTCATGCCTGTAATTCTAGCTACTCAGGAGGCAGAGATCAGTAGGATCTCGGCTGGATGCCATCCCGGGCAAATAGTTTACCGGACCCTATCTCGGAAAAAACCCAACACAAAAAAGGGCTGGCGGAGTAGCTCAAGGTGTAGGCCCTGAGTTCAAACCCCTGTACTACAAAACAAACAAACAAACAAACAAACAAAAACTATCTTGGGCTTGGATACCTCGTTCAACTGGTAGAGCACTTACTTGGCAAGCATAAGGCCCTGAGTTCAAACCCCAGTACCATCAAAATATAACTTCTGTTTCTTTTTTCTTTTTTTTGAGACAGGGTCTTCCTATGTTGTTCAGGTTGATCTCAAAATCATAATCCTCCTGCCTCAAGCTTCCTGAATGCTTGCATTACAATGTGCACCATCACAACTGACCCTCCTCCCAAAAAAACCACTAATTTAAAAATAAATTATTCAATGGATTCACATGACTTAGATAGAATAGACAGAAAAGTCTTGCTGAAAAAACAAAATTTAAACTGAACAGAAAGTAGGGAGCTAGCTGATCATGGTGGTGGGTCAGGAGTTCAAGGCCAGCCTGAGCTACATAGCAAGACTCCACCTCAAAAAAAAAAAGAGAAAGAGAAAAGAAAGGGAAGGAGCAGGAAGAAGGAAGGAGAGGAGGGGAGGGAAGAGGAGGGAAGGGGATGGGAGAAGAGGGAGAAGGGAAGTGAAGACCTGGTGAATCTCTGAGATAAGACACTATGGGACAAGGGAGCAACAAGAGCAAAGGCATCCCACAGGGTTTAGTTAAGAAAAAGAAAGATTCAAGCCCAAAGAGAGAGTGGTGGGTAGAGAGGTAACCAATTTTTTTTTTTTTTTTTTGTGGTACTGGGGCTGTAATTCAGGGCCTGCACCTTGAGTTACTCTACCAGCCCTTTTGTATGAAGGGTTTTTTTGAGGTAGGGTCTCACGAACTATTTGCCTGGAGTTGCCTTCCAACCATAATCCTCCTGAACTCTGACTCCTGAGTATCTAGGATACTCATGCCCAGCCAACCAATTTTTTTGATCAGCATTTGAAATTGGTGTAAATCTATCTAAACATCAGCCCTCCTTTACACAAGCATTGTTTTTTGGGTTTGGTTTTTTTTTTTTTTTCTTTTGCAGTGCTGGAATTGAATCCAAGGCCTCTGGAATGCTAGGCAGACATTCTACCACACCCCTCAGCCCTTTTTGCTTAGTTATTTTTCAAATAGAGTCTCACATTTATATCTAAACCTCAATCCTCCTATTTATGCTTCCAACAGAGCTGGGAGGTATGACAGGTACACACCACCATCCCAGCTTTTTATTGGTTGATATGAGGTCTTGAAAATTTTTTGCCCAGGTTGGCCTAAACCACAATCCTCCTGATCTTCACCTGAACAGAAGCTGGGATTACAGAAGTGAACCACTGCACCCAGCTCCCTAAGATATTTTTAAAGAATCACTAAAACAAAACTAACTCAATACAAAAATTCAAATAAAAGGAAAGAAAAAGCATATTCAAATTAAGTACTATCATTATAACAGGTTAAACTTCCTCCTCAGTGACAATTTCTGCAAGCAAGAGATTATAGCACTCCACAGGCTCCTAAAACATTCTCATCATTTACATGCCCTTCTAAATTTCCACAAAGATGCTCAGAATTTACTTTACACTCTAATGATGGACAGTTTCCACATTTTCAAATTATTTTTGCTGTAAATACTCTCCCTGAGGCACTTTTGCTATGATAGTAGTCCCTTAGCCTCCATGTTAAACACACAAAACACATAAAGTTAAACAGAATTCACTCTCGCAAATTAGGTTAAAAAGTGGACTTCAAGGTAGAGGCAAAACTTGGTTTATGATCTTCCATGAGCACTGATGATGAAGTGGTCTTACGTTTGTAGTCTGGGAGTCAACTCATATAGCATTTCTCATCAATGTTCTCAATTCTCAGGTCATGACCCTTTGCCCAAAGGTTTCATTAGGAGATTTTACAGATGTGATTGAAAAAGTATAAACTACAGAGAAACTCACTGAATAATCTTTTTTTTTTTTTTTCTTTTTGGGTTTGAACTTAAGGCCTTGCACTTGCTAGGCAGATGCTCCATCACTTCAGCCACACCACCAGCCCCGGATAATCTATTTTTAAAAAGTCGGTTTACTTAAGAAATATAAAACCAACAGCCTAGCAGTTCGTTTTATCTTCTGATTCTGCAACCTGTGGCAGACAGTTCTCTTGGCACGTGTGACCTTGGCATTTTGCCCATGTTGACATAGAATGACAGGAGCTTAAGGCTGGAGGGAGCATTTCCTTTATCAGAAGCAATAGGTCACGCTGGGCCTTCTTCTCACCTGTGTATTTATGTGGTTAATTTCCCTAGTCTCTTCCATATACATCTATACACTGGCAAGGGCCTGTACCAGCATGAACAAGCCACAAACCATCTCAGAAATAGCACTTGACCTGTTCTATAAACAGTGCCAAAAAACTAGTGGAAATTGTGATCCTATCTTTGTTTTTCCAACACTTTCCTCCCTATACGCTTGGAAATATTCTTGAAATAATGGATTTTGTTTGGCCAATTCAATGTCATTCCATTGAGACAAAGAGACCACAAAATCAGAACTAAAAATCATCACTATAATCAAGCTAAAACAAAGAAAGAAAAGAACTATTTAACTGGATGCAAAGTACACATGACAAAACAAAACCAAAAGTTTAAATGGTGTTACTATTTAATATTAGGAAATGAGCTACTCAAGAGCTCTCACATCTGCTGGCAGTGTGCCTCAAGTGGTAGAGCGCCTGCCTAGCAAGTGCAAGGTCCTGAGTTCATATCCCAGTGCTGCCAAATATGTGTGTGTAATATTTATGTACATAGATATAGCTATATTTAAGAAAAGAGAGATTTCATGTCCTATAAACTTTTAAAGTACTTTTGAAAAATAAAGTGTGGGTTCTTTTTTTTTTGGTGCTGGGGACCGAACTCAGGGCCTTGCACTTGCCAGGCAAGCGTTCTTCCACTGAGCTAAATCCCCAACCCCAAGTGTGGTTTCTTTGATAATTATTTAGGCTCCTTCAATCACCATGTATTTAGCTAGGTGAGCTAGGTGTCTGGGAAACATAGACAAATGGGTCATTCCACCTGCCTCAGACAGGTTCCACAGAATAACGCCAACACAGCCCTAAAGCTAAAATCCTGGACTTTCAAGAAGCCAAGGACCTATCATTTGCATCCAAGAGCTCCAAAAGGTTGGGACTCTGGGTTAGAGCACGAGGTCACTGCTCAGCTGCTCGAGTTAACAGACAGCCAAATGCACTTGTAAACTGCAGTATGCAAAGCAAACTCAGGAAAAGTGCTGCAACGTCACCGACACCTACTCAGCCTCCCCACCCCACCTTCATGAATAGAGGGTTTTTGAAGGGAACTGTCCAAGGTTACCACCTGATACAGAGAAATGCCTTGGTGTGCAACACCAGTGAAATAAAATAGTGTATGTTCTATGTACTTACTGGGGATTGCTATTCGACATCTAAATGGTTGACAAAGTGTTAAGCAAGGCTCATAGGACAAAAAAATAAGACCTCTTTCTCAAAAGGATTAAAACGTCAAGAAGAAACTGACCGAAAGAGGGAGATCGCTAACTTCCCAAAGCGGTAGCTACCTCCTGGAAAGGTACTGGAACCAGCGGGACTGACATACACAGGACAGACGTGCCCCCCCTCCCCAATGGTAAAAGTTTGAGCCGCCATCCGACTATGCTGCGGTGGTCGGAAACTTCCCAAAACAACGAGAAGCAACCAGACACCCTCAAGTCTCCGCCCTCAGCCAAGCCCAGGTGCCCTCGTGCCAGGCTGTCGCTTCCTCCCCGGGCCCTGAGCCCACCTGACTCCCCCTCTCTCCGGGATAGTCACTGGACTACTCGGCTTCCAGCGCCGGCCGGCCGGGTCCCGGGATGCCGGGGTCCCGCGAGGCCGTCGGGCTCGGCCCGGGGCCCTGGCTTCAGGCCCGCCCTCCAGGAGGCCGGGCGCGCCTCACGTCCCTGGCTGGGCCGCGACCCCCAAGCCCCAGCCCCCGCCCCCGCCGCCGGCCGACCCTCACCTCCTCGGCGTGCTTGCGCAGCGCCTTCTCCCGCTCGTACTGGGTGATGAGCTGCTCGTTGTCGTCCCGCAGCAGCTCCAGCTCCACCTGGTGCTCTTGGTCCTGCGCGAACACAGAGTCTAGGTTCTCCAGCACCGCCACCACCAGTGGCATCAGCTCCTTGACCACCTCCTCGTCGTAGCGCCCGATGAGTCGCTCGAACTCGCGGTAGATGGAGCCGGCCAGGCCGGACACCCGCTCCGACATCACGGCCCCGGAGCCACCGGGCTCCTCCTGATACACCACACCGTCCTCCAGCTCCATGGTGGCGGGCGGGCGGGCGGCCCGGGGCGTCTCCGGCTGAGGGACTGCACGGGCCCGCACGGGACGGGCCCGGCTGCGGCTGGGGCTGGGCCCGGCGGGTGGGGGCCGGGGGCCTGAGGAGGGGAGGGGTGGGGTGAGCGCACTCACCACAACCGCCGCTGCACCAACTGCCGGGGCGGCCGGGCCGCGCGCGCTACACGTCACCCGCGGGGCGGGGTCGGCGCCGCGTCGGCTTGGTGGGCGGGGCCCCGCGGGAGGCCAGGCGCGGCCGGGGGCGGGGCTTGCGTCAGCGTGCGCTGGCAAAGGCAGGCGGTGGCGTCAACTCTGTGCGCCACGCTACAGGCGCGACGCCAATGGGAAAAAGAGATGTGTTAGAAGTGTCAGCCGGAGGCCGGATTTGCGGGGCGATTCCAAAGGAAAGGGGAGGGTTTTGGAAGAGTGACTAACCATCCAGGACTGACACAGCTAACACTTCCACTGCTTTTCTGCACCTCACAAAGCACTTTCTTTTTAAATCATCACAAAAGGCGTGGTGCCGTAGACGTTTGGCTTCCGATTCACAAACTAGGCCCGGGAAAGTTGTGGTTCACTCAAGGTCACATAGCTAGAACAGGAAAGAGGCCGAGCCAGCCAGTTCTAATAAAGAATTCCGGACTCAAAAATGGAAAACAGAGGGGGAAAGGAAACAATCATAAAGAAAGGGACTGCCTAAGGAATAAAGTGATCTCAAGTAGGATAGGACTGTGTGAGGTTAGAGAAGAGTAAGGATGGTCTAAAAACAGGAAGTGTAAGGCATTCTGAGGAAGGGTGAAACCGAAACACCACATCTTGCATTTTCCCAAACACTGAGTTTCTCCGCTCCTGGCCCACTTGAGAGAAGCACTTCTAGACTGCAGCCACTTCCTCTCACTGGGTCTTGAAAGGAGGCGGAGCGGGTAAGTGGGAGGATGAGAAAGGAAAGGGGTGGAGTCACTGGAGTGAATAAGTCCCATGATGTGTGAAGTCGCCGCCTGGGTGTGCGTCACTTGTGGGGAATGTCACAGCACCTCAGTTTAGGGCGGGCTGAGTCCAGGATCGCTTCCTAATGTTCTCATCTAGCATCCTCAAATGGGGCGGATGACACTCCCCAAAAGTCCCTTCCCTGTGCCACTAATTCATCTAAGAGTAGAAAGGCAGGATTTGGGTCAAACAGGGGTTAGTGGGGAAATCGGCCTCCTCCTGTGATCGTAAATATCCTCAACTCGGTGTTTACAAGCTCAAGTTTGTCCCCCAAAGTCTTCCTCTCTAGACCTTACTGGAAACCAACAAAAAGTATGAAAGTTGAGTGTCAGCCTGTAAACTCAGAAGCACAAAGGAGAAAATACTGAATTTGTGCCTGTGCCACTCCTTTTCTCACCCTCGCCCCACACCCACTCTTACATTGTTAGTGTGTATGTCTGGGTTATAGGAATGTCTACCAACTCGTTGGATACAAGCCCCAAATATCATGTCCTTTCCCTTCTTAACTTCACCTTTGAAAACCAGAAAAATGCTTGCTATGAATCTTTCTCTTTTGTCTTTCTGAGAGCTGCCACTCAATCTGTACAGAAAGGTACCTCTTTTCCTGGAAATCAGAACAGCAGGAAAACGTAAGGCAATATTATACACATCAGAAAATTTAGAGAAAAAACGTCTATTGGTTTGGGGATGGGATGAGGAAAATGGGAGTGACTGCTAATGGGTATAGCGTTTCTTTTGGGGATAATGAAAAGGCTGTAAAATTGAAATGAATACACAACTCTGTCAATATACTAAAAGGCAGTATATCTTTCATGTAGATTGTATGGTATGTATGGTATGTGAACTATATCTCAATAAGGCTGCTAAAAAATAAATTAAGTAAAATATTTGGCTATAATAAGTAGATGCAATAGAAGCACATAATTTGGTATGATAGAATGGAAAGAAAATTGTTTTGAAGTTGAGAACCTTGTATTCCAGTATGAACTTGTCATTTTGAACAACTTAGGCCAGAATCAAAACCAAATAGTTACTGAGTACCTACTGAGAGCAGTTCACTGAAATAAGGGCAATGAGCTTTAGTATTTTCGTCTGTATAATAAAGGGATTTATTAGAGAATCTGTAAATATTTCCTGCCATTCTGAAATCCTGAGTCTTCTTTGTAGGTGGTACTAACAGATAAAAGCCTTGGCCTTAAAATTGAATCCCATTAGTTAGTTCCTAATAATGTAGGTGATAATACCTCTCTTACACTCAACTGGCTGAATAGGATCCTAGCACCCACCTCTAACCCCCCCCCACTGACATTATCATTAATGACTAAGAGTTATCAAGGAAAACCAGGTCACATTGTGGCCTTTAGAGTGTTTACTTTTGATTCCTAAAAGGAAGGAAATTCCATTTCAAGAGATTCCTTGTTCTTTAAAAATACTGAGGACAGTAATGGGAGCAGTAGGAGGGAGGAGTTGATGAGATCAGGAAGGGAGGAGTTTCTTCCTAGCACAATAACTATAATCACTGGAAGGCTGAAATTACTAGTCCTGTTGTTTTTTTCCTGCCTGTTAGAACTGTAACAGTTACTTCTATATGAATCCATTTTCTCTGGGGAGTCAGTGAAAAGGGAAGAGGAAGAAAGGGCTCCTGGAGCTCTGGATGGATTTGTTATGAAGGGTTGGGAGAGTGGCTCAAGTGGTAGAGCACCTGCCTAACAAGCCTATATCCCTGAGTTCAAAACACCAGGACCTCAAAAGAAAAAAAAAGTTCATAATGGTGGTATGAAAGACAAGTAATTCTTCTAGAAAATGAACTAGAAAATGTTTGGAGAGGCATTCTAGCTACAGAATTTTAGGCTCTTGAGTGCCAGAGTATTTTTTCTGAGTCCTCAGTTTTTCCTTAGAAAGACTTGCTGATTTTTCCAGTAAAGAAATTATTTTGACAAATTCATTAACAGTCATGCTTGGAAAGGATTGGAGGTGAGACGAAAGTGTCTAATTTTTCTAAAATGCCAATTCCCATTCCTTTGTGTATGTGATTTGGAGGAAAATATCAATGACCCAAAACATCACATCACTTCTGAAATCCACTATCTTTTTTTTTTTTTTTTGTATCGGGGTATGAACCCAGGGCCTCACGCTTGCTAGGCAGGTGCTCTACTACTTGAGCGAGCAACTCCACCAGCCCCTAAAATCCACCATCTTTAAGAATTCAGTGCAGTTGGACACACCTGTAATCCCAGCACATGGGAGACAGCAGCAGGGGGATCATGAATTTGAGGCTAGACTGGGTTACATAGTGAGACCCTGTATTAAAAATAAATTTTATTCCAAAATAGATGGTATCAAGTTGATGCTGAAATTCTTTGAATTATGAAGATGACAAAGAAACTTCATCATAATCTCCTTGTTTCAGAAGTATACAGCCAGTTAAAATTTCCAGTAATATCTGCTGATCTTAAGAAGAGAATAGAATCCTTAATTAACTGGGACTACAAGGAAAATCATAAAGAAAATCCAAACCAGTACAATTATATCACATAGAATGTTGGCCTTGTAGCATTTGTTGTCATATGCCCTAGCCAGTAGATAAACTAATTTTTGGTTCTACATTATTTGACTTCTTTTATACTGTTAATTAACAAATAAAGCAGGTTATGGCAATAGTTGAGTGGACTTTTTCCTCAGTGATTAACATACCCATTTTAAAGAATAATACTTATCTTTAAAAAGAATGTTGTTGCCGGGCACCAGTGGCTCACACCTGTAATCCTAGCAATTTAGGAGGCAGAGATCAAGAGGATTGAAGTTCAAAGCCAGCCCCAGGCAAATTGCAGGACCCTATTTAAAAAAAAACCCATCACAAAAAAAGGGCTGGTGGAGTGGCTCAAGGTGTAGGCCCTGAGTTCAAACCCCAGTACCGCCACAAAAAAAAAAAAAATGTTGAACTCTTTGCATATTATTTAGTATGATGTACAGAAAATACTTAAGTACCTAATCTTCATGATTCCTTTTTGAAACTGGGGAAGATCTGGGCTACATAGTAAGACCCCAGCTTGAAAAAAATTAATTGAATAAAGAATTCAGTTCAATTCAGCCAACACTTAATGTCTGGATCCTGTCCAGACACTTAAGGCTGGATCCTGTTCTAGACCCAAGGTGAAGGTGCTTGGCCCAAGGTCAAGATGAGTCAGTCACAATACTTGCCCCCAAGACGAGCCATCTAGGAAGTGAGGCTGGTCTCGGAACATAAATAAATATTCAGTGTGAAAGCTCCACAAAGCACAACTGTGGTAAAGAGGAAAGAGCAGTTAACTCTGTTGGGAGAAAATTGAGATGAAGAGCTCTTGGAGGACCTGGCTGGTGAAAGGTAATCTAGGCAGATACTTGGTTTGGAGGTTAACCCACATCAGATGAGCAGAGCAAATATAATTTAGTTAGTCCAAAGCTAAACTGGCCTGCTTTCTGAATCCCTTAGAAATAGAGCTGGTTCAAAGGAAAACTTGGCCAAACCTATTATTAAACTATTCTCTTTAGGTCATGTCTAGTCTCTCTTGTATAATAATGCTGAGCCTGAGCTGGGGGCATAGTTCAGTGATACAGTGCTTGCCTAGTATTCGAGAGGCCCTGGCTTTCATTCCCAGGACCACACAAAAAATAGTAATAATAATAATGCTGGGTCTTTGAGCTAACCTCTTTTCCTTCTGCCCCTCCCCTTAAGAATGTTTAGAGTGTGGGGGAGAAGTGTGGCTTCTGCCTCTTGTTCAAGGTAGATAATGGTGAGTGAAGGCTGGGATTCATGTCTGTATTCTAGTCTCTAGACAATTTCCTTATTCTCTTGGTCTTGTCCAACTGGTGTTCATAGTTGAAGTTTTGAGCATGCATAAATCCCTGGGTTCAATCCCCAGTACCAAACCCAAAAAACTTCAATATCTGTTTTATAGGTACTGTTTCCTGTTGAATTTGGCCTACATTGACTCTAATGCTACATGAGACACTTCTGAAGTCTGGCTGTGATGGTAGCCTCCCCGCACCACTCACCTCAGTCACCTATTGTCTCTCACTACAGGTTCCCAGATGATTAGGGAAAGCTAAACCTCTGGGTTTCCTAGAGCCTTC